AGTTGCCCAAGGAAAACTTGAGTGCCTTGCCTAGTGAAGGAAAACAGCTCTTACACAAACATCTTTCCTAAAATTAATGGGATTTTTCCACTCTAGGGATTTCAAAGGCTATAGAAATCCATCAAAAAATGTTGAAATCCACATATATTACATGTGGCTAATATATATATACAAGTTAATACACAGTCATGTACCACACAATGATATTTTAGTTGACAATGGACTGCATACATGATGGTGGCCCCATAAGATTATAATGGAACTGAAGAATTCCTATTGCCTAGTGAGGTAGCCATTGTAATGCCATGTCACAATGTATAACTCACACCTTTGTGGGAATGCTGGTGCAAATAAACCTGCTGTGCTGCTGGTGTGTAGAAGTGTAGCACATACCATTATGTACAGCACTTAATACTTGATAATAAATTACTATGTTACTGGTGTATGAATTTACTACACTAGAGTGTAATATTACAGGAAAAAAGTTGGGCCCTGGCTGGTATAACTCAGTGGATTGAGCGTGGGCCTGTGAACCAAAGGGTCGCCAGTTTGATTCCCAGTCAGGGCACATGCCTGGGTTGCAGGCCAAGTCCCCAGTAGGGGGCATGTGAGATGCAACCACACACTGATGTTTCTCTCCCTCTCTTTCTCCTTCCCATCCCCTCTCTCTAAAAATAAATAAGTAAAATTAAAAAAAATAAAAAGACGCTTTTTAAAAACCTTGCTGTAAAACCATGTCATGTTATGCCACCAGCAGCCTCATACATTTCATTCTTACTATGTCTCTTGACCGCATCATTTCTCTCGTGCTGATTCAATGTTGTATTATTTGTGCAGTAACATACTGTACAGGCTTATAGCCTCAGAGCAGTTATACCATATGGCCCAAGTGTGTAGTAGGCTAGGCCATCTAGATTTCTGTAAGTACATTCCATGATGTTGGCACAGTAATGACATCGCCTAACCACACATTCCTCAGAATGAATTCTAGTCATTAAGTTGTGCATAATTATACGATTACTCTAATTCATTAGCTTTTTGAACTTAGCCGCTCTCCCTACCCACATATAAATGGAAGGTATTTTATTCATTTACTTATTTTTGCATTATTCTTTTACTTATGCAGATACACAAACCCATGTTATTACTTTTTTTTTCATTTAGAATTATAGAAGCCATGGGGATGTGATGTGTGTTTTGCAAATGAGGCTTCACATAGTTAATCTATTTCCCCAGGGTTGGGGAGAACCCAGACGCAATGCCAGGTGAAAAAATCAGCCCTCCAGCTCCTAGATGTACAGTTTACTGTTGTATTTCAGTCTAAGGAGATGACTCTTCATTTTGTTGGGAGAAGATGAGGAGAGCTGCATGTTTAATAACATGCTTAGATTAACACTGGGCTACTTAAAAAGAGTGGGTCAGTTGTTGCCTATTTTCCCTGGTAAAGAATCTCCTCTGACACTTGACCTAAGCCCCGGCTTGACCTCCTGCCCTCCTGCCCTTGAATTATTGATATCAGTGTCTTCCATGAAACACAGGGGATTGATGTTACTAACCCAGAGCAGTTTCTAAAATGAAAGTTAAGATGCTAAAGATTTAGGGAAATAGATAGTGTTCTGCTGGCAAGCCAATGCAGAAAAAATGCCCCCTTTCAGTTTAGGGTTTTAATATCAGTACATTTTCTTTTGATAAATACTTGGCAAAAGAAGGAAGAAGTGAAGTTTGGCTTCTATCACTGCTCTATACCCATCTCCCAGTATCTGCCTCCCAGCACTTCATTTTCCCCTGAGTGTGGGGCATTATCTGTGAGAGGAGGAAACTGCTCATTATTAATAGAAACTAGAGACCTCCATTTCTCCCCTTGCCCATCCAATCCAGAGGACTCTAAAATATCTAAATTATAGCCCTGGCTGGTATGGCTTAGTGGATTGAGCACCAGCCTGCAAACCAAAGGGTCGCTGGTTCAGTTCCCAGTCAGGGCACATGCCTGGGTTGCATCCCAGATCCCCAGTATGGGGTGCATGAGAGGCAACCACATTTTGATATTTCTCTCCTTCTCTTTCTCCCTCCCTTTCCCTCTATCTAAAAATAAATAAATGAAATATTTTAAAAAATAAAATACCTAAATTATGTGCTTCTAACTAATTAAAGATCAAGTGTGCATTATCAGTGGTATGACTGTTTGAAAGTTTGGGGTCAATTATTTAAGCTACATTCTCACAAGTCAAGTCTAAATTGTGTTTTGCCTCCTTTTATTGATGTGTGGCATATACTCAGAATCAGGTCATTCTGGCTGAGCTAGGTGCCCTTTTATTGTTCAGTCATGAGGTACAGTAGGCAGAAAGAAGGAGGGCTTTCTAGCTCCTAGAAGAGCTTCATGTGACAGTGAAGATGCAGGGGCTGGGTGTTTTTATAAATAGCAGAAAGCCCCCACTTCCAGCTGGAGCTCCTTTCTGCTCCCAGTGGGAAGAGAAGAGCAACCAGTGAATTCTCAGCCAAACCCAGTCATATGCATCAGGATCAACAGAATGGCCAGATGATGAGTGTCCCAACAGCAATTTGATTAATAACCATTTGTCAAAAATTCAGAGGTACTTCAATCCTGCAGCCGATGGGGTGTTTTGCAATGAACTGAGAACTATCTTAAGAGCAAAGCCTGGGTCTAAGTCAGATCCTTGAGCATTCTCCATTTGGGGGTAGAATTTTATTTGATTGGTGTAGATACAAGACACAAATGAGTGAGGATAACAGATTTCTAGCTTGAGACTGGGACATCACAGGTACATCATTAAGGAAGAAAATGCAGGAAGAGGATTGGGTTTGGACAGCAATAAAACTAACTATGTGTAGAGCCTGTTGAGTTCGAGATACCTGTGGGGTCATTCATGCGGAACCCTCTGGAAGGTATAGGAAATACAGTACTTGGATCAGTAGCTACAAAGAACACTTGAGTATAGATTTGGCATCATGAATTGAAACTATGTGGAATAGAAGGATGACATAAGAAGAAGTAGAAAGTGAAGAGAGAAGATAACCACCAAAAGAACACAGACAGCTTAGTAGTAGCCTGAAGAAGAGTTGCAAAGAGTGCTCAAGAATTGAAGAAGTTTGGCAACCTGGAGACAGAGGCTTCCAGAAGCTAAAGAGCAGAGAGCCAGGAAGTTTGGGGCCAACTAGCCCAGAGAGGTCAGCTAGGTGCAGGAGTGATGATACCTCAATGCTTTAGGTCATTGAGAAGGTAATGGTAATCTTCCATTGGACCATTTCAGGAGTGCTGAGCACAGAATTCATATTTTAATTCATAGAAGTGAGTAGTAATTAAGGCAATTGGCCAGCAATGTTTCTTTTGGCAGCCAAGATGAAGCAGAAGGGTTGAAGAATGAGCTCTGTTTCTGGGGGGAAGAGAATGGAATAGGTTACATGGAGGCAGAGCCTGGAGGAGTCATTGAAGACCGCAGGAGGGGCTGGGGGCAAAAAGGATGCTCTCCTTTCTTATATTTCAGAGAAGCTTTAATTAGCTAATAGGTCTGGGTGCACTGTCTCCTCTGCAGTGTAATTTTATAATATAAGCTCAGTTAAAACTGGTGGATTAAGTGGCATGGTATGGACAGCCAGGAGCTATGTAAGAAACTAGCTCCTCTGTGTCTACTTGCCCTGGATTTTCTACACCCTCTTAGCAGGCACATTCCCCCCGCCATACCTCGCTTCCCCACCTGAGATATTTGATGAATCAGTGATTGAGTCAAGAGTTCTGGCAGACTCCAGCTGCTTCCTCTGAGATGGCAGTTGTTTCTCCTATTGCCGGAGGTATATTAGCGATATACCTCCGGCACCTGTGGGGTGTAAATCACGGTCCCTCTTGACTTGTGTTGCACATGCTGTTGCACATGCTGTTATCCACACTGAATATTTCTCACTTCCCACTCATACCCAGATTACTACCTTTATCTTTTTAATTCATTTATTTTATTTAAATTGGCTTCAGGCTATCCTGAATAGTCGGTTTGGAGATATTAGCCTGGTCAGTTGTTGAAAGTCATGTTCTAATTGTATCTGAGAAATTCTTTTCTTGTCATCAGGTAAATTTCACAGGAATTTTAAGCACTGATATCATGATTAGGAATATAGATTCAAACTAGACTCCTGGGCTTAAATACAAATCTCACAGTCTCATGATAGCTAACATTGGACAAGTTATATGGCCCTTTCTGCCTCAGTTTCTTTAGCTATTTAATGAAGTTGCTAATGGTACCTACCTCACACTGCTGCCATAATTATTGGCATTAAATGAGTTAGTTCCTGTAATGTGCTCAGCATGGTGGACTGTACTTAAGAAGTACTAGCTACTATTATTATTACTTTTCTCTCTTTTCTTTAAGCCCCTGGGTTATCAATATTGGCTAAACCACTAAACTATAAGAAATATGAATATATACCAAATACTCGCTGAAAATGCTCACATCTTTGTCATCTGCCACTTAGCGCATCTTGGGGTATCTTGGTCCCTCCTCTCCCTGCCTATCTCTGAACCTGGGACACCCATCCTGCCTTCTTCTGGATCATTACTTTCCATTACCTCCATGCATGGGTCTCCTGCACTTTCTCATTTGTATTTTTCTCTTCGCAACTCATTTTCACACAGTTCCTTTTATGCTTCATGCTAAGGGATCTTGGGAATAGAAACTTTGATTTTCGAAGCTAAGTCTTGCTTCTTACAAGAGTGTAAAATTAAAATGAGATCAAATTAAAATGATCAGAAAATAGTCTGCCCTGTCTTTTTCAAAGGGAAAATAGAATTCACTGTGTGCAGAATGACTGCATTAATTTCATAATTTCCTCCCAGTGCTAACAATTTCTAACACCCAAAAAGGAAGAGGCACAAATAGGCAATGGGAAAGAAACCTCAGTTTTGCTATTTTGTGATCTAGCACTGGGACATTTTTCCAGTAATGTTTTTGGTGCTAACATCTTCGTGTCTAATCTTTTCCTTTTGTCTTCAGGGAGGGCCGCTCCAATGCTCACATTAAAGGAGATTACCAAAGAATTGGAGATGTCATGCTGAAAAACATTCAGGCCATGAAGGTAAGCTGCTTTGGAATCTGGGCACAGCTAATTCCCCAGGAAAAATAATGCTGTGGCTTCCAGAGTCAGCCAGCCATAATAGCCTTTCAGTGAACATACAGTGCATGATATGACAGTCTACACCTAACACAGAGCAGGGTAAATATAAACTCTTCTATCTTTTCTAAATAATTTCCTCTTCAAGCATAATGAGAAATCCAATCACTCTGAGGGAAGAAACACTTTTGCACATTTTCTACTCAAAAACTGTGTTGTAACCAAAACAAAAGGTATTTTCCGTGAACAGATCATTCAAAACTTGTTTTTAAAAGTTGTGTACACAAGTCCTGACTGGATGGCTCACTTGGTTGGAATGTCATCCTGTGCACCAAAAGGTTGAGGTTCAATCCCTGGTCAGGGCTCATACCTATATTGCAGGTTCGATCTCCAGTCAGGGGACATACCTAGGTTGGAGATTTGATCCTCCATTAGGGTGGGTATGGAAGGCAACCAGTGTTTCCTTCTTACACTCATATTTCTCTCCCTCTCTCTCTCTGACTGAACATTCCATTTTTAGTCAGTTGTTTGGATTCTTGTAAGCATGACAAAAATATCGGATTCAAAGCTGTATAACAATTCTAGTCAGGTGTATGACTTTAAAAAGAATAAGACTTTAAATGTACAAGAAAGACTTCCAGTCAAGATAATGGTGTACACAGACATGTCTTGCCTCTTAGCACAACCACTCACTCAAAATTACAACTAAAATATAGAATAACCATCACTCAGAACAATGAGAAATCAAGATGAATGGAAGTCTGACAACTCAGAATTAAAGAAGCCACATCCACCCAGACTAGTAGTAGGGACCCAGACGCAGAATGGACTGGTCCCACACCCACCTGTGGTGGATAAATATTCGTGAGGGATATCTTGGGAGCTAGGAGTCCCAGGCCCATACCAGACGCCCCAGCCCAGGGTTCCAGTGCCAGGAAGATAAGTCTCCACAACTTCTGGCTGCAAAAACCAATGGGGATTGAGTTTGTGGAAAAACTTCTGGAGCCCCAAGCAGTTCCTCTTAAAGAACCCACATGTGAACTCACCTATTCAGGCTGACTCCCTCTGAGCTACAGCACTGGGGTAGCAGCATGAAAAGTACCAGTGACATATGGAGAGAAACTGATGTGGCTGGCATCAAGGTGAGCAGAGGCCATTGTCCCTTTTCTAAACCCTCCCCCAACAGAGCCACAGACCTGGCAATCTGGTGCCATGTCTAAGACTCCATCAGTTTGGCTAACACTGTTTGACCCACCTTGGAGATCCCCAGAGACTCTGCCTCACCTAACTTATGGGCCCGCCCAAGCTGCTTTTCCACATGAATGGTTGGTCTTGGTTCATGCTTCACAACTTCCTAAATCCTATCAAACAAGCAACAGCTGGCCTCAGTGAGACCCCAGCCCTGCACTAGCAGCAGCCAACTTAGATTCACAGCTTGGCTTCACCTGGGAAACTCAGCTCAGCACAAGTAACAGCCATCTCAGATTGCTTTTTAACTCAGGCAGGGTAGCCTCTGAGAAATTACAGGTCGGGGCTGATCTTAGCCTGCACCACCCAGGAAACTCCAGGACCACCCAGGGAACAGATACAGACCACTGTGGAACACCACTCCCCTGCCCCTGCATAGCTGATCCGGGAAGGGGGAGGGAAGATGGGAGGTAAGTGGTCACAGCCAATCCTTGCAGCAGACTGGCCTGGGCAAATCCCTACCATTGATGTGCCAACAGCAACCAAGGCTCAACCACAAGAGGAAGGGTGTACTCAGCCCACACAAAGTATGCACCTTGAGTACCCAGCTGGGGTGATAAGGGGCTGTGCCACTGGACCCCACAGGGCACCTACTACATTAGGCCCCATTACCAAGACACAGATTGAAAGCACCTCTACCTAATACATAGAAACAAACACAGAGAGGCTGCCAAAACAAGGAGACAAAGAAACATGGCCAAAATGAAAGAACAGATCAAAACTCCAGAAAAAGAGCTAAATGAAATGGAAATAAGCAATTTTTCTGGTGCAGAGTTGAAAACATTGGTTATAAGGATTCTCAAGGAACTTAGTGAGGACCTCGGCAGCATAAAAAAGATCCAATCAGAAATGAAGGATTCACTAATTGATATAAAGAACAGTTTACAGGGAAACGGCAATAGACTGGATGAAGCTGAGAGTCAGATCAATGATTTGGAACATAAGGAAGCAAAAAACAACCATGCAGAACAACAACAAAAAAAGAATCCAAAAAATTAGGATAATATAAGCAACCTCTGGGACAACTTTAGGAGGTCCTACATTCACATCATAGGGGTGCCAGAAAGAGAAGAGAAAGAGCAAGAAATTGGAAATCGATTTGAAAAAATAATGAAAGAAAACTTCCCTAATTTGGTGAAGGAAATAGACATACATGGCCAGGAAGCACAGAGTCCCAAACAAGGTGGATGCAAAGAGGACCAGACCAAGACACATCGTAATTAAAATACCAATGCTTAAAAATACAGAGAGAATCTTAAAAGCAGCAAGAGAAAAGCAGTTAGATACCTACAGAGTAGTTCCCATAAGACCATCAGTTGATTTCTTTGCAGTTGAAACTTTGCAGGCTGGAAGGGATTTGCAAGAAATATTCAAACATGAAAAGCAGAGACATACAGCCAAGATTACTCTACCCAGCAAAACTATCATTTAGAATTGAAGGTCACATAAAGAGGTTCCCAGACAAGAAAAAACTAGTGGAGTTCATCATCACCAAACCATTCTTATATGAAATGTTAAAAGGACTTATTTAAGAACAAGAAGATGATCAAAACTATGAACAATAAAATGGCAGAAAATACAAATCTATCTACAATTAAATCTAAATAACAAACTAAGCAAACAGAACAGAGATAGAATCATGGACAGGGAGAGTGTTTTGATGGTTGACAGATGCCGGGGCCGAGGGAATGAGTGAAGAGGTGAGGGGATGAAGAAATACCAGTAGGTATGGGGATGTAGAGTACAGTATAGGAAATGGAGTAATGAAAGAACCTATACCCATGACCATGGACGTGAATGATGGTGAGGGGATTGCCTGAGAGAGTGTGGGGAAGCTGGGTAGAGGGCAACAAACAGGGAAAAATCATAATATCTGTAATAGCAAAATCAATAAAAACAATTGTGTAAAAGGATGGTTAAAATGGTATATGTGTGCAATTTACCACAATAAAAATAATTATTTAAAAAATCAATATACAAGCTAAATATATTTTTAACTATCACTAGTATCTATAATGATACAAGAGTGAAAATATACCAGAAAAACTCATTACTTATTGAATCAGTATTCTACTTGGTTTGGGGGGGGGTGTTTGTTTTTAATGAATTATTTTATTATTCAATTACAGTTGTCTGCAATTGTCCCGCCCACTCACCCCACCCCAGCCAAATCCACCTCCCTCCCTTACTTCCCCCTTACCCCTTGATTTTGTCCATGTGTCCTTTATTGTAGTTCCTGAAAATCTTCCCCCCATTATTCCCTCTCCCCTCCCCTCTGGTTACTACCAAACTGTTCTTAATTTCAATATCTCTGGTTATATTTCATTTGCTTTTTTCTTTTGTTGATTATGTTCCAGTTAAAGGTGAGATCATATGGTATTTGTCCGTTACTGCCTAGCTCATTTCACTTAGCATAATGCTCTCCAGTTCTATCCATGCTGTCCCAAAGGGTAGGCGTTCCTTTTTTCTTTCAGCTGCGTAGTATTCCGTTGTGTAAATACATCAGAGTTACCGTGAGTTTCGACCCACTCATTTCCTGATGAACACTCAGGTTGCTTCCAGCACTTGGCTATTAAAAATTGTACTACTATGAACACCACAGTGCATAGGTTCTTTTGGATTGCTGTTTCAGGGCTCTTCTAGAATATAATTCCAGCAGTAGAATTGCTGGGTCAAAAGGCAGTTCTATTTTTAATTTTTTAAGGAAATTCCATATTGTTTTCCACAGTGGCTGCACCAGTGTGCATTCCCACCAACAGTGCACTGGAGTTCCCTTTCTCCTCAACCTCTCCAACACTTGTTTCTTCATTTCTTTATGATGGCCACTCTGAACAGTATGAAGTGGTATGTCATTGTGGTTTAAATTTGCATCTGTCTGATGGCTAGTGGTGCTGAGCATCTTTTCATGTGTCTCTGGGCCCTCTGTATGTCCTCCTTGGAGAAGGAGATATCTGTTAAAGTCTTATGCCCATTTTTTAATTGGGGTTTTTTTCTTCCCGGACTGGAGTTGTGTAAATTCATTCTATATTTTGGAGATCAAGTCCTTGTCTGAAATATCATTGGCAAATATGTTTTCCCAAATAGTTGGTTCTCTTTTCATTTTAATACTGTTTTCTTTAGCCATGCAGAAGCTTTTTAATTTGATGAAGTCCTATTTGTTTCGTTTTTTTTTTTTAATAAAAAACGTATTTTTTATTATACTGAAAAAAACTAAATGGACATTTTTGGCCAACCCAATATTTTTTTAAACATTTTTTTATTGATTATGCCATTACAGTTGTTCTATTCCCCCCTCCTTTCCCCTCCACCCTGCACACCCCTCCCCCACCATTCCCCCCCTTTAGTTTATGAACATGTGTCTCAAGTTCTTTAGATTCTGTATTTCCCCTACTATTCCTACCCTCCCCCCTATTTATTTTCTATCTACTGTCTGTGCTACTTATTTTCTGTACCTTCTCCCCCCTTCTCCTTCTCCCATTCCCCTGTTGCTAATCCTCCACGTGATCTTCATTTCTATGGTTCACTCCTGATCTAGCTATCCTCTTCATTTGCTTTTGTTTTAGGTGTGGTTGTTGATAACTATGAGTTTGCTGTCCTTTCACTGTTCATCTTTTTTTATCTTCTTTTTCTTAGGTAAGTCCCTTTAACATTTCATATAATAAGGGCTTGGTGATGATGAACTCCTTGAATTTGATCTTATCTGAGAAGCACTTTAT